GTATACGGCAAAGACCGAAGACGGCGCCAATAGTGCTATGTTCAAATGACAACTATTGATGGACCTCCTGCTGACCCCTTACCCCGCCCCGTAGCAAAGCCTAATGGGTCAGACCAGACAGGCAGATTTGAGTGCTTGTGGACCTGTTTGACACGTGACATACTGGCTCCACAGGGACTGTCTGCAGACATATCCGGTGGGGAAAGGTCAATGTCTACCGGCGCGTCCCTGGCTGGCTAGCTGCATGGCTGTCTGTGTCTGTCTGTCTGTCGTCTGTCTGCCTGTCTACCTGTCTGTCGGACTGCCTGTCTGTCTGTCTGTCTGTCTGTCTGTCTGTCTGCCTGTCTGTTTGATACGAAATGTCGTATCAGACTGAGACCCGTAACAAATCCATGCACATTCAAAGCAAGTTCCCACATTGCTCGGGCCGAAAATGGACCCGTTCACATCGTACGCAGCCGTCACAAACAAAATCACAATTCACATAATTTCACGTTCATTCAGACACACTGCAATACCCTTTTGCGATAAACTCGTGGGCATGCTCCGTAAATGTTTTCCCAGTTAAAGAACAAAGCAAACAGCGGCTCCGCGCGGCGCTGTCCGTTTTCGAAGAAGCACTGTTTATCGCTGGGTCGTGTTCCCCGGGCTGTTATTCTTCATGTATGAATAAACAGCGAGCTGACAATCACCATGCTGCACTGGATTTCAGGCACAGGGGTCTTTCGTCCGATGTCCAATTCGGTGAATATCGGACGGCGAGTACATATGAGCGCCGTGACCTTTCTTGGAAATGAGTACGCCCTGAGGGATTTAATACCAGTGTCAACTTTGCTTAAATTTCATATTCCTTTTCATCGCTCAAACGTCTATACAAATAAAAACAAGTAAAATTAAAGAGCATTCTTCAGCTTCAAAGGAGCCAGGGCCTTGACGAGATTGCACAAGGAGTATTACGGAAAATTCACCTCCGATAAAACAACAAAGTAACTATGTGTATAAGCTGGGCGTCGTCGTATCAAGATAAAACTAAACGTTTGGCGAAGCTAAAAATAGATATAACCTGGCTCAGGAGCCTCGATGATCCGACGCAACGAAGGATTCTAAGCCCGAAACACGCATTGCGGGCCGGCGTGGAACAGCGGGTGTTACCCTGCCGAAAATCCGCCGCACAGTTGGGCAGCTTATGCAAATCCGCCGGCCAAACAAGTGGCTGTCGGGGCAGCACCGTTTGGCGTTCGCCGACGGTGGAGGCGGTGCGTCAAAGTTCCGTCCTGTCCGCGTGACTCAGTGCCGGCCACCGGGCGTCACCAGACTCCAGACAGACAGACAGACAGACAGACAGACAGACTGTCGGACACTAGTGGCAACAGACCGCGTCACCGCCCGCCGCGCCGGCCGGACGGTGGGCGGACGGCGGGGCCCATTGCAGGTGCGACGGGTCACGTGACCTCAGACGGCCTGCGTGCGCGGCGACCCAGACACCGGACATCCCCCTCCCCCCCCCCGCTGTCTAGCCGCCACGTCACGCGGCTACGTCACCAAGGCCGTCTAGACAGTGTTTTTATGACGGGTGGTTGCGCGGCGGTGCGCGCTGCCGAGGGGCGCCCGTGGACGGGGGGCGGGGGGGGGGGGGAGACGCGCCCGCTCGATAGTTGACTGAACGGGTTGGATGCCGCGCCGAAACAGCTTGGGAACAAAGGAGTGCGTAACTTCTACCCGTTTGTTTGGTGCTATTTTACTGCTTTCATGACAGCAATTATTCATTGATCCGTTTCAATGTTCAATTACCTAAGTGTCGAATTTTCATATCCTCCCGAAATCCCCCTGACTTAGTTACTTATCTAATTACAAATAATGCAACTCTATCAACAGGCTAAAATATCATTGAAAGTTTTTGCAAAACGCCCGCTTTTAACGAAATGTTTTTCATGAAACCAAAATTTTACCGCAAGCTCCAAAACGAAAGCAATTATAACTAAGTATATGCATAACACAATACCTACCAATTAATTTTAAATGACTTTTTTCTAAATCGCACTAGGAACTAATTCGTCATAAAAGTTTTGTAGACAGAATTATCCACGTCAAACTCTCTATCCCAGATGTTTATTGTTTCTCTGTCTGTCTGCCTGTCTGTTCGTCACGCTTTTTCACTCCCTCGTCTCTCTCTCTCTCTCTCTCTCTCTCTCTCTCTCTCTCTCTCTCTCTCTCTCTCTCTCTCTCTCTCTCTCTCTCTCTCTCTCTCTCTCTCTCTCTCCTCTCTCTCTCTCTCTCTCTCTCTCTCTCCTCTCTCTCTCCTCTCTCTCTCTCTCTCTCTCTCTCTCTCTTCTCTCTCTCTCTCTCTTTCTGCACTTTTATTACAGCTTCCAAATACCCCTCCGTCTCTAGGTATCTCCGGCTCCAATCCATTCACCTGCAGCTAGTCCTTGCAGCTTTAGTACTGACTGCGGTTTTGTCCGTAATAGCCGGACGAGCTGTTTGTCTGGATGCGTGCCGTGTGTGTGCGTGTGTGCGAACCGTGCACCCTGCACTCTGCGCACTTACTGTGCCTCGTCCGGTGTTTGAGTGCTGGCTGGTGGTCCCAGCATTCAGAGGTCACGGTCACCCAAGGTCAGAGAATGCGGGTGGTGCCGCGCCGCGGCTGGGTAGGTCAGCCGCTCCTCCCCTGTTGACCCCGAACCACGGCGTGATGATGATGCTAGTGAGTAGTGACGGTTTTTGCCAACTGGGTGCAGGCCTAAGTCAGGTGCCCGTGTCTGAAAACAAGACAACTCATTCCTTTGAAAAAAAGTAGTGAAATACCCAAAAATAAGTGAGAACTCGATGAATCGAAACCGAAGTAGGTCACATTATCAGAATTAGTTTCCCTAAAAAATCTATTCAGCTTTCTACGGAAAACGTATACCAACTTACTTGCCTAGTAGATGCCTTTAGCCGAACTTATACTGCTTAGTACCCGTAGGTACTCGTGATAATTTATGGACGTCCGACCTCGATCCTAAAGGATCGTTTGACTTTTAAAACTTTTTTTCACATGGAACAGCCGCAGATGCAGTTACCTATATCTAGGATTGAAAGGCATAACCAAGAGTTCACTGCTCAACTGATTTCTTTAACGAATAAAAGAAGAATGAAATAAAACACTATGCCAGCCTGTGAACACGGAAGCACCTGAGGAACTACCAAGAACTTCATCATCTCTTAGCATTTCCCCCTTCCATGCGGATACACTCCACGTATGACGTAAGTATTTAGTCTGTCCGTGTCAGATCTGTAGCGGTGCACAGCGGGCCCGATTCCGCTTAGGGGGCGGCTGTTGCTTGCCGCCGTCAGTTCTGTTCTCGTCTGTCCGTCTTCCTCGGGCCCTCTCCGGTCCCGCCTGACGGTTCTCGGTACTTAGAGACCGTGCGGCGGCGGCGACGGTACCGGACGGAGCGCTCAGGGCTAATCCGTCCGACGGAACAACACAAAACGTAACGGTGCAGCGCGGCCAGACGTGTTGCCACGGAAATTGCACACCCAGCGAGCTGTAAATACACCGCACGTATGTAGAGCCGAGGCAGATCTCGTTCATACACTGACGGTAAGATAGTGCACCGCCAAGCCGGGTTCGTGTGATGTAAAAGCTGGTTTTCTGTGAGTGAGTCGTCGCATATTTTGCCAGCGCTGAAAGCCAGCTAGTTTCGGAGTAAACATTTCTTTGAAAGAGACTTATATGAATGGAGAAGTGCTTTGAGCGTGCCGAAACACGTGACTACGTGTGGTCGGACAATATAGTAAAATGCTGAACATACGATAAACGTGCTTTGGTTTTTATTCAACATGTATGTATGAATGAGGACCTTCTATGTCAACCATTGTACGCACCTACAAATTATTATGAAATAAAAATAATTTCTAATAGGCAGATATCTACCTATGGTAGGTATATATTCTCTATATATTCAATATAGGTGAACCTTATTTCATTTAGCTCAGCAAAAGTGGTAAACAGACGTTTCTTGCTCATTGGTTTTGATTTGTTTGATTCACCTCTAAGCAATTAGCAATTCATGTGTCTAATACATTACTTGATCATTTTCTACTAGGCATCGTAGCTGGTAACAGGGGTGAAAACAAGCATTTATTACATTACAAATTACAAACACCATCATAATGCCTTGTTTTGTACCTGTATCTCAGTAGATGATTCAAGTATTTTGAGATTCTACGGGCGTCACTTTCCGAACATTTTTGGGAGGACTAAGGAATTTAAAAGCTTTAAGTACCTTATGAAGCTATTTTTACCATGAAATCATCACAGCATCTTAAAATGTCGAAATTATTGGTAGGGCTCGAGGCTCGAGCCTTTGGTTACTGCATAAGACGGTACCCACGTGGGCTTACAAGGAGGCCCGTAGCGCTCAGCCACCTTGCTGGACGGCTTCTGGATTTATAAATGCTTTGCTTCTAAGATGTGTACCTACTTGACCTTTGTACCCCTTCTTACTCAGGCATTTATGTCCGAAAAATATGCATAAATAGACGAGAAACACTTTATCTGCGCGGAATTCGTCGAGTACCGAAAGCGGCTGCCGAAGCACCTGACCTGCGAGCAGGCTTTCACCCTTGTGCGGCATCCTCACGTCGACGGGGCCGGGGGCTCCTAGGGCAGAGGCAGATGTCACCAAGGGGCACGCCCGAGCGGCCAGTTTCACCGGCGTCGCGCGCCCGGGCGGCGGCCTTTACGCAACGATCGATGCCGCGTCGCCACAGCCGCCGTCTGGTCGTCTGGCCGTCTAGACAGGACCGCACGCATAATGGCCGACGGGGCTGCGTGCCGCCGGCCGCCGCCGCCAGTCGCGCTTTACGACCGCGCGCCGGCCGTTTTTGCGCTCCTCCCCGCGCCGGCCACCGGGTTTTTGTGCGGCGACCTGTCTGGAGTTCACCTGGCGGCAGACAGCCGAACTAGCCGGCCAGCTCGGTCGGGGCGTCTGCGCCGGCCCGGCCTCAGTGGCGGCCGGGCGCGCGAGGTGGTGGACGGGAGGAGTGCTGCTGGCTCCGTGGTGAGGCTGCGACTGCGACCCCCGATGTGACCGTGTCGCCATCATGTGTGCTGCGGACCAGCATGCCATTCGAATCCCCGGATCTGGCGAGAAACGAGTCAGGAAGCCCTCCGCAAGCCGTGCACAGTTTGGATGCGCTGTCAGGTAGGTACGGGTGAGAGACGGAGCCGCGCGGCCCCTTTCCGGCCTCCCCGTGCAGCGGCGCCCACAGCCGCGTCCAGTCTGTGCCGGTGCCGCCGCAGTCGACAGGCACGCCCCATACTGCGCCGCAGTGACAGGCCGCCCTGTGCAGTGGCCTTGGCGGCCTGGCGGGGTCACAGCCGGCCTGCAGCCCGGCCGGCCCAGTCGCGCCCCGAATGTATACGCCAGTCTTGGGAGCTCGGCTGGGCAGCCATGGCCCGCTCCCCCGCCGGCCGGCCGAGCTGCGGACGGCCATCGTCACGGCCGTCCAACCCGGCCGAGCCTCGGCGACGGCCGCTCCGTGACCCCCTCCCTCCGCCCCCCCCCCCCTCCGCCGCCGGCGGCGGCGGCCGCCCGGGCCCAGACGAAGCGCGGCGGCGGCGGCGGCGGCGGTGGTCCCGGCTCCAGCGGGCACGTGGTCGTCTCCTCCAGCAGCTGACGCCATCGATCAGGCGGCTGCACGGCGGCGTGCTATTGAGCTGGTCGCCAGCAGGTGCCGTCAGCCTGCCGTCAGACACCGGCCCAAGGCCGCCCGACGCCCAGTCGGCGCCCCCGCCCCCGCCCCCGCCCCGGCCCCGGCCGGCACCCGCCCTCCCTCTCGCCCGCCGCCGCCGCCGCCCGGCACTGCGCCCGGATGGCGAGACCGGGCTAATGGCTGTAAAAAATATGGGTCGGTGACGGGGCCGATCTATTTTTTGTGCGGCTTCGAAATCTCGTGCTGCTTTCACGCTGGGAGCCCTTGGTAGCTGTGTGTCCACATAGCGGTGGCTCCAGCGCTGGAGAGGCTGGGGAGCGAGAGAGCAGACTGGGAGAGCCGAGAGGTCAGGTGGGTGTCAGTCTGGGTAGCTTCTAGCTGAGTAGATTGGGTATTCATCGAAGGAGGGAGCTACCTAAGTGGCGGCTGTTTTCGATACGGGAAGGGTAGGTATGGTGGAATTCAGAGACTAGCTACGCCTTGCTAAATTGCGGTGAAGGCAAATCGTAACAAAGGAATATTCGTTTCAGTTTGATAAGCCGTGTTTTATGCCAGCGAATTACGGGATGACTTATTATAATGTGTTGATTTAACTACATTCTTTATATTTGGCCATTTCGGCCCTCCAACCAGGGTCCAGGCAACGGCTGTGGTAAATCCGCCAAATTCCAACAGGTTGAACGGGATAAGGGAGATGCATTGCATCTATATTATAATCCCTTGGCTATGTCAGGTGTGCCTCGATATTGAAACGGATACTAACAACTCCAGGCTCTTCAGATCTAAGTTTGCCACTATACGTATTCCCCTTCATGCAGATGAATGAATTACTTCAGACTTCGCATAGATAAAACACATTTAACGACAGCCCATTGACCTTTGGGTCATGTATCCGCCTTCCGTTCTGATAAACCTTTCAGTAGCGTTCCAATACAAATCTGAGCGGCTGGTGGTGATAACTTTTGATCTGGGCCTGCCCAAAGTGTAGAGTTTTTTTTTTCTTGGTTGTGCCCCCGGCGAGGTGCACCCTCGGGGAGGGTCCGAATCAGATTTGCCGGTTTCGGTGGCACACAGACTCACGTCTGCTAGCTCCGTGAGTCTGTGTGCCACGGAAAGGAGGATTATTGATTTACCCAAAGGCGACCTCTATGCTCGGTGCCGTTCGCTGTGGTGTCGCGACTGTTGCAACATTTCCTTGCTGGAGTCGACCGATGGGACCATCGCACGGCCCTACAGCGTCGGCGGTGTCCCCGCTGACCGCGGAAATATAATTATCTATATTGGTTTAGTAGGTATGTCTTGCTGTATTTTGTCTCCAGATGGATGTTTTAGGGTCGGCACCGGTGTCTGCTGAGTCACTAGCTGAACTGAGGTTACAATGACAGGTAAATAATCACCAACACACAGGAAAATTGTCTCAGACGTCCCGCTAAAAATTATAGGCCTGGCTGGCCGCATGCCGATGCCACTGCCTTCTGGTCGAGACAGGTAAACAACAATAATTGCCGACGGTAAAATAACAACGGTCATTGTCGACGGGCCCGGAATAGCGTGATGCCCCGGCAGGCGTGACATCCGCGCCGGTCACAGATGTCTCCGCCGACTGGGCAGGGGGTGCGTCTGCACCGTCGCCGGGCGCGCCTTCCGCGTCTATCGTCGGCTCGGAGCGCTGTTTGGTCCCCGGTCAGCAGAAGAGGGAATGGCCGGGGAGTGGTGACCGATTTTGCACCAGACCGTGCACCGATACAGACGTCTCGAGGCGATACCCCCGGGAAAGGACGGTGTCTGCACGGACACTTCGATCTAAGACAGACAGAGGAGGAAACTAAATCGTTTTGTCGTGTAAAGCGTGGTGTCCGAAGGCAGTTTCTTCCGTTTCTTCTTGGGCGGATCGCTTCATGCATGCTTTGACCACCTTTCCTAAGGCAGGCACACAAATACTATTCAGTATTTAGTTACTGTGCACACTGAGGCGAAATGGTAAAAGATATACCTTATATACCTATATATGTATTACCAAAGTCTTCCGCATTTCAGCGTAACAGGAAAGATATGAAGGAAGTTCTTGTCATTTGGAATATTATTGCGGCATTGTTTAGGATCATATAAAATAAAATTTCTGAGCAAGGTAACATATATATTTATTTTTTATGTCCGCGGGAACATGAATTTGCGACGAGTTCAGGAGACGTTTCAGACGGTTCTGCGAAGTTAACTTGTGTACCGGAAATTGTAAGAATGAAATATAGTGTCGTAAACCGAAGTAAGTCTGATGCTAAAACATTTTATGTGTCAGCGTTCGTGATCGATTTCCTCTGACAGTAATATAAAGCTTGTCCCCGTGGCAAATGGGATGAAGAATATTTCGCTCCTGACGATGGGTCCCTCAGAATCATCCGCGCTGGCAGAGGCTATCAAATCTCATCGAGTTCATTCCGATCAGAATATCTGCCCGGCGCAGTCAAGCTTGCTTCGCTCGCAGACGGTTGACGTCTTTATGATGTAATCTTCCCACGTCAGTTTCTTCCCTACATTTCACTTGGAAATCTGGCTCCGTTTCATTCAACTTGGCTGCTCGGTTGCCGTCGCTGCCATGGCCGCCCACCCACACATTCGGCGCAGCTGTGCCTGTTCTCTGGGACTGTGGCGCAGTGGGGCGGCGCCTGCACCTCCTCAGATTCATTCATTGAAACTGGGAGCGCGCCGCCGCCCCTGGCAAACTGTGAGAGGCCTGAGCAGAGGGGTTACAGCGGCCGAGACCCTGCGGGTGTGGTGCCTCCACAGGGCTGCCGGTCGCACCCCGAGTCCCACAGGGAGGAGGGCCCCACAGATCCGGCGCTACCAAAGTTGCCAGACGGCCCGCTAAAGTTACCCGACGGGCCGCCAAAGTTGCCAGACGGGCTGGCGAGAATACAGTCCAGGGCGCGGCGCACAACTTCGCGATCGTGTCCAGCTGTGAGAACGCCTGTGGCATTTCTCTGGAGGCACCGGGTGGCATGGGCCGCCGGGACGGGCCTGCCGATGAGGCCCGCCTGCCGGAACTGTCATTCAATTTCGGCTGTCATTCAAACTTCATTCAAACTAGCCCAGCTTATGTAATTTGGCGTCGAGCTTGTTACGGTGCTTAGAAGAGTGTTGTTGATTGTTGTTGCAGCATGCTTGCTTTGATGTTGATATGCAACGTTGTCTGTTGTTTAATCAACTGTCAGATTTCGACAGAATTCCTGCATCTCCATTTGAAATGAAATTATATGGCTGCGTGTGTTGTCATGTGTCAATGATTGAGCATCCAGATGTCAAATGAAGCCATGAAGCCAAACGATGCAGTTTTGTTGTGGCAAGCCATTTTTGCTTCAGTCAGGAGCCGTCCTTGATTAAATGAATTAACGTATGAAACAAAAGGAATCCTGTAAAAGTAGCTGATGCAACGTTTGCCGTCTCAAAGTCAACCTCAATACAATAGAGATTGTCGATGAGTTTTGCATTGCATTATTTTAGATTATTTATTTACGAGCTTAAATTGCAATTGACTCTGCAGGTAGGAACTGAATTGCTTATTTCTTCATAAATACTCTAGAGGACTTAACGAAGGAAATTCCATGTGTTGCGTAGTCACCATGACTTTCCGTATTCCGTTGCACTAATTTTCATTATTTATCGCTCTGGTCACTACCTTCAGTAGCGCTGCGCCGCGTGCTAGTTCATCATCATCGAGCTCGCTGTGGCAGGATGCGGTTTCTGACGGCCTCACTTCCCCGTCGTGCAGTAGCTCCGAAGGCAAACAGCTTTCTCAGCCGGCAAACGCTGCTCTTTCCCGACCTTTTGCGGAAGCAATTTGCCGGGGCTGTGCACAATCGTGGCGTAATTAGCCAAATTATGGGTGCATATTAAGTGGATTCATATTATCCCAGATTACCTGCGGCTGTTGTCCAACCTCATTTCCTGTTTGGCCGAGTGTGGCTGCAGCGAGAAGCACTGTGTGCAGTGTCGGCCTGGCGGCCGCCGTTGACCTCTGACCGGCCGGGTTGTCTGTCACGATGGGCGTCACAACATGACCCGGTGACCTCGGCTGGCTGCCGGCTGACCCCGCAGCCCTGGTGAGACTCACCCGTCACCCGCCTGCGTCAGACGGGCCGGCCGGTGTCGGATGGGGCGGCAGACGGGATGCAGGGCTCTGACACGGCCCCACCGTCCCGCAGCACGGGTGCTGGTCGGTCTTATTTTTTTTTTTTTTTTGTGCACCGCCTTAGCGGATGCGATGTCTAATTGAAGATATTGGGAAGACGTGCGCTTGAGAATGTTTATGCCTTAGTATGCAATTGAAAGCATACTGCATAGGCTGTTTTTCAGTTGATATTTTATATGCGTCTACCGTTGTACATTATTATGCATTTATTTCGACATCATTTCAGCTCCACTTGTCTAGTCTCCTCTTTGTCCAATGTCTATCCCGCCCTTGTCGTCAGCCGGCCATCCTCCTCTGTCTCCT